CCCCGCCGGCCCCACAACATTACTAAATGGTTTTTTCCCCCCAGGTTAACCCCCCCCGCCCCTCGCCCCCTTCCCCCCCCCCCCCCCTCCACCCCCCCCCCCCCCCCCCCCCCCCCCCCCCGGTTCTCTCTCCCTTCCTCTGTCTTCTCCACATCTCTTATTCCCCCCTGCTATCATGGCTGCCAGCAATGATCTCCGGGGCTGGGTTATGAGCGCCGTCTCCGGTGTTGGTCAGTCTGGTTCAATTTCTCTTCCGACGCCACCCTGCTAACTCACATTCCAGCTTGCGTTCTAGGTTCCTCCGTCATATGTATCGATGTAATTCTCCGCCAGTTCTCTCACCGCAAGAACTTCCAGATCGTTAATCACAATGGCTTCTTATCGGCTTCACTGGGTCTCAGTGCCGGCGTCATGGTACCGCCCCTAATTCGAGCTTTTGATTTGATTGATCGATGCAAGTTGCTAATAAACTCCAGCTCTTTACCTCTCTTTATAGCATGCTTCCCACCTCCCTCAAATACCTGACTCGTGCCGGACTAGCCCCCTCGCCCGCAGCATATACCTTGATTGGTCTTTTCCTGGCCGGTGTCATAGTCATCCGGTTTCTTTCGGCATTTCTCCATCATCATATTCCCTCCCACGTTGTGGATTGTGCCCACTCCCACGAGCCGCACCCCGCTTCCGATCTCGAACATGGTCACCATGACCACCACGACCACCACGACGGTGACTCACATCCTTCGGGGACAACTGAGGGGTCAACGGAACGTACACCTCTGCTAACTAGACCGCTCGGTCGCTCCGAGGAAGAAGCCGAGAGAACCGTGTTCCGCGAATCGTGGCGCGGCCGGCTGGTACGGCGCGTAAGTCGCCTGGTGGGTGGTGTCAAGCCACAATGCGATGAGTATGGCCCATGCTATGGGATTTCGCAGGCTTGTGGCCATGAATGCTCAAAAACTCTTGTTGGTCCGGGCGACGAGGGCCTCCGCCCCGCTATTCCGCGCTCCGTCTCCGTTCCCGTGCAGCAAGATGCGGAACGATTCGTTTTTGCAGCCACCGATCTACCGGTCTCGCAGCAGATCCCAAAACAGAAGACCAACACGGCTTCGTCGTCTTCTTCGCATACCGGGTTTCCCGAAGCTGACGCGGACGCGGAGGACGCCGTCAAGTCGTTGCCTGCCGGAAGCGGTCAGCACCATCACCACGTGCCCCAGAACGCATTCCTTTCCATCGGTCTCCAGACGTCGGTGGCCATTGCCTTGCATAAATTACCCGAGGGCTTTATCACGTATGCCACCAACCATGCCAGTCCCTCCCTTGGTCTCACGGTCTTTCTTGCCCTCTTCATCCATAACATTAGCGAGGGGTTTGCCATGGCTTTGCCGCTCTACCTTGCTCTTCACTCGCGGGGTAAGGCCATGTTTTGGTCTAGTCTTCTCGGCGGCATAAGTCAGCCAGCCGGCGCCGCGCTCGCCGCGCTTTGGATTTGGGGTGCTAGTCATACCGGCGGGCCCGGGGAGGACGGCTCCGGTCCATCCTGGGGAGTATACGGAGGCATGTTTGCCGCGACGGCCGGCGTCATGACCTCGGTAGCCTTGCAATTATTCAGCGAAGGTCTCGCGTTGACTCATCGTCGCGAAATGTGCATCGGATTTGCCATCGGTGGAATGGGCCTCATGGGCCTCAGTTTTGCCTTGACCGCATAGACTCCAAGATCTTCCGGCGTTTTATTGGGTATATGTTTCTTTCTCTTTTGCTCATTCAGTTCCGTGCCATTGGAGAAGCTCGCAGGCCGACATAGAATTCGCCAAGGAAAATACGGTAGCATCTTGAGGAGTTTTGTCACTATATCTTTCCAACGAGTCACGACTGCTTTCGGGAAATACCACTGTCACTAGAAATCGCCATGATCAATTGTTTTCAGCAGCCAACATTTTGTTTTAGACTAGTATATATAAATATTATTATATCTGCTCAATTAGACTGTTCTCGCCCGTCTTCTGGTATTTGAATACCATACATCAATAGAGTGTCGTATACCAAATTCCTGGAGATATCAGGCATTATTTTAACGTATCGATAAAAGCCGTTCATCAGATAGTAAGTGTCGATGTCGATCTTTCTCCAATTTCTTGGTAGTGTTGACGCTCGAAACCAGGGGTGCTCCGGATAATGATTCGAATGACCATATTCAAATTTGCGACACGATCGTGAAGAATGGGTGTTGAAGAAGAAGTCTTAAGTATTCATCAGAGGGCTTGGCATATAGACTCAGACACTCAGCGTCGCCAGGTACTTACACTAAGTACAGCTCAAGAATAGGGCAAAACTAAGCATTCTACAGTCAGCTCAGGTGGGAGTTTCTCCAGTTTATATTGTCCAATTGGCCCATGGAGGGCGACGGTGCAACAATGCCAAGAGTACTTTATCATCTGAATGGCTCAGTTGCACGGGTCACCGGAGGGTATTCACATGCATAGCTGAGGTCTGGCTGTAAAGTGGCTATATATTGCACAGACTAGAGCCAGATTGATCTCTTGCATCTGGAGGACAGATTATCCAGTGTTCTACCTACTCCGTAAGGGGGTATACTTCTTCAAGTGGAGCGGAGACCGGATCTGGTCACCTGATTGGACGAGCCTCAGTCTTGCTCTGTTTGGCCATCTTCTTGTCTTTCTTTTCTGCTTCTTCAACCTCCCCCATCTCCACCTCCTCTCTCCCTCTCTTTCCCCCTCTTTCTCCTTCTCCCCCTCCTCATTCTTAGTCATGTCCAAGGCCACCTTCGCCGCCATCGCTGCGGCCAGTGCGGCCACCGGAGCTGGCTTGACAGCCCTGGTCTATTCCGCTCGCCCTCAACCTCAACAGCAACAGCAGCAACAACTCCCTCCGCCAACTCCTCTCGCTTCTACGAAAGGCCCCGCCTCTCAACCCGCGCCGCCTTCGCTCGCTCCTAAACCCTCCGGCGGCTCCCCCGTTGACCCGTCCGGGATCTACCAATATGGCTTCCCCGGTCCGGTAGCCGACACCCTTATATCACTCCCGCTGGCCGGCGCCTACGATCGCCGCACGCGCAACCCTTCCTGGGTCGCTGAACACATCACGCCCGCGTCGCTCGCTCTTAAGAATGCCGATCGCAAACACAGCACCTTCTACGAAGACACCACCATCCCTGCCGCTTTCCGCGCCAAACTGTCCGACTACTTCCGTTCCGGCTACGATCGCGGACACCAGGTGCCCGCCGCCGATGCCAAATGGTCGCAGGGCGCCATGGACGCCACCTTCGCTTTGACCAACATGTGCCCGCAAGTCGGTGAGGGATTCAACCGCGACTACTGGGCTCACTTCGAGGACTTCTGCCGTAACCTGGCCAAGAAGTACCCGTCCGTGCGCGTCGTGACCGGCCCTCTGTATCTGCCCCAGCGTGACGCCGACGGCAAGTGGCGTGTTTCGTACGAAGTCATCGGCTCTCCGCCCAACGTGGCCGTGCCCACGCACTTCTACAAGGTGATATACGCAGAGGAGGGACCCGCTTCGGCGGCCGGAAAGGTCGCGCTGGGTGCGTTTGTCTTGCCGAATGCTCGCATTCCAAATGAGAAGCGGTTGGCCGAGTTTGAGGTGCCGTTGGAGGCGGTGGAGCGCGCGAGTGGACTGGAGTTTGCGGCCAAGCTGGAGCCTAGCCGCCGGAAGAAGCTGTGCCAGGAGGTTAAGTGCGAGGTGACCATTCGGGAGTTCAACAATGCTTCTAAGCGGAATTAAAAGGTCGAATGAGAGGGTTAGAGTAGTCTGGGAGGGGAAACGAGGTAGAGATGGGGACACAGGCTGTTTTCCATAAGATGGGCGGGTCTTGGCCCTAATTTCCGTTCGGTTTATATTTTTATCAGTCGCGGCGTTTGTAGGCTCGCTTGCGTGAGACATTGTACCTATACATATCTGTTTCTATAGACTTGACATCCGAGTTGTTCAACATTGGAACGCAACGCCCCTCTTGGTTGCAACGTTTCCTCCACGCCCAGCAAAACCCGTTCCCTCCGAGCTCACCTCCACCAAACCAGGGCGGATGCCTTCCTTATCTTTCTTCTTCTTCTTCGTCCCGGAATCATCTTTCCCTTTCGATTCCGTGACATCCGTTTCACAGACGTAGCAAAGGATACGCCCATGAAGCGCAGCCGTCTGCTCCTGCTCTTCCTTCGTAGCATGAGGATCCGGCGCATCATGAGGTGTCATGAATTTCGTGACACACGGTTGACAAATAACGTGCCCGCAGGGTTTCGTTACTGTTTAATGGTCAGTGAGTGATCCCTTTTCGCAAAGAATTACCTAATAGAACATACGCATCGCCTTCAATCCATTCGTAAGCGTCTTCTTGCAGCTCGGGCATACACGGGCTAATGTGCCGTCGTCCGTTTTCTCTTCCGTGAAGTGCACGTCGACCAGCGACTTGAGCGAGTAGGCGTGGCGGTTGGAGTCCGTCGACGCCGGGCAGATCGGGGTCATTTTGACGGCCTTATTGGCGGCGATTTCGTTGGGATCCGTCCCCGGCGTTAAGGAGGGAACCCAGAAGGAGGGCAATGTCGATTTACTCGATTCCGACTGAATCCAATCCCGTCCGTTAGGCAAACATATCCAATCAGCCAGACCGGCTCTCTGATTAAGAGTAAAACCAGGTCGTTGAATCAAGGGAGACTAACCTTCTCCTTCTTCAACTCCTCCTTCAACCGCTCCTGCTCCTCCCTCGCAACCCTGGCCATCTCCTTCTCATCCAACTCAAACACCTTCTTCCGCTTTCCATCCACCTCGACCTCGCGCGCCTTGAACGCAGCAACCGCCCGCTCCGCCTCCTCGGCCTTCCTCTTCTTCCCCGCCCCGTCTTTATCTTTATCTCTCTCCGTCCCCGTCCCGGAGCCCTTCTTCCCCGCCTCCAGGCCCATACTGACGAGCTCGAAGTCCCGCAGATCTCGCTCTTTAGCCTCCTCAAGCGTGCGCTCCTCGTCTTCCGCTAGCCGCTTCTTCGCATCGTCGCGCTGCTTCTCGAGTCGTTTGATCTCCTGCCGTTGCGCGAGGAGGTCGTTGATGGCGCATTCGCGACAGAAGAGGTCGCCGTTCGTGGCGCACGCGACGACGGGTGCGCGCGCCGGGTGCAGACACAGTCGGCACGAGCCGAAGGAGAGGAACGAGTCGCGGCCGATGACGCCGCGTTGTGTGCCCCATGATGCGCGTAGGAGGCCGCGCTCGTAGGAGGTGAAGTGTGGGAGGGAGGTGTTGCGTTTGGAGTGGGCCATTCTGTTTTTGGTGGTGAGGGTGGGTTTATGGCATCGATGGTCGGAGGATTGGTAGGTTGATGGAGGTAAAAGGATTTTATTTAAAAGGAATTAGAGAGTTGGGAGTGAACAATTTGAGAGAATCAATTGCATTGAATTGTGTTCGAAGGACTCGAGATTCGGCGTTGGAGAAAATGCTGGAATGACATAATCATCTCCGCCTTTCTGTCTCCGCTTGTCTACTTTCTACTTCAATACTTCTTCAGCTGGACAGCTAAACAGATAATCATCGGAATGAAGAACTGATAGATATTTGTACATCACCGGAACTGGAAGGGATTCATGCTGAAGCTCATCAGGGTCAAATGAGGCTGATCTCATCGCCATGCGAAGAGTCTGACAAAACTAATTAATTGCCTTGAGTTTCATCGGTCTCGATCGGAGCCTTTTCTGACTCCTTCTTGCCCTTGCTCTTCTTCTTCTTCTTTTGTTTCTTGCGCTCTTGATTGTAGGTATAGGGCGTTACGGTTGCCACTGAACCCGTATCCGATACTTCGTCCATATGACTCTTGCTCATGGCGCCGGTATCATCACCTTTTAATCGTTCAGAAACCAAGAGAGGGTGGTCTTCCTTCAAAGTCAGATACAGCAAGTTTAGCTCTTCTTCGAACTTCCGGCAATTCTCGGGATCCTTGAACGGATCCTTGAAGTCTTTCTCGAGCAGCTTTAACACCTTCAACGTTCTTTCATTCCGCTTGGTAGCGACGGCAGTCTCACGGGACCGGAGGTACGTGTCTGGGAAAGCCTCCCAATCGTGGTCCTCGCGTGTCTCATCAAACTCCTCGTCAGGACCCACGAAGAAGGTGGCATCGCCTACCCTGGGTCCGATTCGCGCCTTCATGGTGTCGGTGAGGCGGTGGTATTGTCCCACGCGCAGGTATTCTTCTGGATTTGCGGCACCCATGAATAGAATTTCGCAGTTCTCGGACAAGGAGACCCCCTGATCCTCGGTCGACAGGCCTCGGGATGAGGTCCCGTATCCTGGCATTTCCTGGAGGTGATGTCGCCAGCGAGTATACCATCCCCGAAACGTGTCTTGAGCAGGGCGCAGGGCTCGGATGATTTCTATCGCTTTGTCTAGAAATGCGGTGGCGCGTGCAATATCGGAATGAAAACCGGCAACTACGGCGCAGTGCGCCCAAACCTGCGCGATGTAGGCGTCACGGTTTCGAATCAAGGATAGATTGACCACAAGATCGTGTACGGCTTGGTATAACAACGCGGGTCGGTGCTTGATGATTCGAGGACAACTCATTAAGATGTCGACATCTTGCTGCAATTCGTATGTCCGTTCGAATAGTGAGGCCGGGTGGGAATGAGAACACCAGTAACAGGCGCAAGAGAATTGGCCATGGATAAGAGTCGTCATCAGTCTCGTCTCGCGCGGGCCTCGAATCCGGAAGTATGAAATGGTAAGTTCTTCGTCTTCGGCAATGTCTTTGAGAGCTTTCACCACAACACATGTCACCACCGGCTCTTGTGGCATCAGGAACTCGCCCTCTTTCTCTACGGCTGCTCTCGCACTGCCTCGATAAGGGTATCTTTTGACCAGCGTCATTGTACAATTCGACAGGCACGAATGATTCAACCACGCCAGCTTAAGCCCAATAAAACCGGCATGCAGGTCATTCGACTTCGCACTCATATGATGCTTGTGCCAGATATACGCGCCCACCCCTCCGGGTCTCTCTCCTATCATTGTATCCTCATTGTCATCCTCACTCGGCTCATAACCAGCACCCAGCTCGAGGAACTTGGAATACCATTCAGAACCCATGTTTTTTGCCAACTGATGCAGTACCCCCTCGATATCTTTGGCGTCCCGGGTCGCCGTCAAGTCATCGGGGCCCATGCTCAAAACCTTCTCGGAGAAGACCACGCTGCCCGACGGGATGGCCTTTTTTGCGATCAACCCCATTCCGGTATTATTCATGCTGGGTCCCTTCTCGATATCTCCCTCGAATGTAGGGACGCAAACCTGTCTGTTGCGGTTGAGGAAATGCTCGAATTCGGTCTCAGGGTTGGAGGGCATTGTGCGAAGAGGACATGTGCATGGAGCCTTGCAGCGACGGCGCAAAGGTAGATGCTTCTTTCTGGTTGGAGCATTTTCTTTAGGTGGTGGATGGGTAGAGGAGTAGCTTGCTGGAGCTGAGTCCATCTAGATTATGGGGCTTGACGAGGTAGGTATGTTGGTTCAGGGATGCCTAAATCTTTCAGTGAGATGTTCCAGTGGAATTTCGCTTCAGTGAAGAACAGAGTACTTCTGGACAGGGTTGTGCTTGTGGGAGGTGAAACTGATTGATATGGTGAGGAAGCGGAGGCAAGTCTTTTGTATGATCATGAGAAGGACCGAATGCGTGATCGATGGGAGTTTTGCGCAAAGAGCGTATCTTCATGGAAGTTATCGTTACTGATTATCCTGGAAAATCACAGGATACCTCCCACTAACAAGACTTTCTGACGGGAACTTCCGTCTCAGAACCCATGCTTCCATGGCTTAGTATCTACTATGGACATGGTCCATTCCAGGGCGGTCATCCTGAATGAGCAACCTCGCATCTACACTGAATACCCTGGATATAAAGGGTCATACGATCAATTTCAGCTCCAGAACAGTTCATTTCATTGTCACTTTCTCCTCCAATCTGAAGACTATCTGAAAGAAACCCCCAATACACGCAAGAACCTCAGTTCACACCGTCCTTGGACTTGGCAGGAACATCATCACCACAATCCTCGGAACTAGAGACAGTGGGATCAACAGCACTCGCATCAGGAGTAGTAGTAACAGTCACCGGAACACCGCCCTCACCCTCACCCTCACCTTCATCTTCCTCCTCAACCAACCTTCCTACAAACTCAACAACGTCCCTGGGCAAATGCTCATTGTCATTTCCAAACACGTCCACCTCATCATCACCAACTCTGCAACCTTCTATAAAGCTCACTCTCTTCTCACGTGAGGATGGACTCTTGGACGGTGTCGCATAGCGTCTCTTCAAAATGCCTTTCACCGGCGATTCACCTCCACCGGGGACGTACGAGTGCACATGGGAATCAATGGATTCATTGAATCCGGCACCGGCAGATGCACGCCTGTATGCAGCATTAAGATCTTCAGCGCGGAACGGGTAAGAAGAACTTGTATGCGCCCCAGTAGAAGCCCTCACCTGGATCTGCGGAGGCGAAGACAAAGCCACAGACGTAGACGCAGATGCAGCCGACGCAGCCACCGCCGCCTCTGCAGCAGCCGAAGCCTCAGCCAACACGCCAGCCGGCGAAGGCGAAGGCGAAAACGAAGACGCAGTAAAAGCCACAACAGCCGCACCAGTAGGCGTAGTCCTCGCTCTGGAAACAAAAAGCGGACCTCTGCTCACAGACACACCTCCACCTTCACCCTCACGCTCAGAAACTCGGGCTCGGAGCCTTCTCCTGTCAGTCTCATCCTCGGAATCTTCATCTCCAGACACCTTCTCGGAGTCCGAGTCCTCACCAGACGACACACCCAGCGCCGCGTCCCTGATTGCAGCGACGTACCGCGAAGATCCGATTCCACCGTGGATCTGGCTCTGGACGAGATGGCGGTTCTGGGGAAGCGACGCGTCTTCGGAAGTACTTGCGTCGTAGAACGAAAAGGAACGCTGTCTGGGACGGTAGAAGGGGTTGATATGTTGGAGGGGAACGGGTGCGCTTGCGCTTGCGGACGAGGTTATGAGCTGGGGGGTAGGGGTGGTAGTAGGAAGGGGAACATTGGTACTGGGGTGTGAGGGAGAAATAGTAGGGGCACGAGCACGAGCACGAGCACGGGCACGGTAACGGACAGGGATAGAAGCTACCGACGAAGAAGCGACAACAGGACTGTCTAACATGCTAGAAGCAGAAGAGTCGAATGAGAAACCCGCCACCGGAGTAGAAACAGACGCAGGTGCAGGTGCACTTGAGGAAACAACAACAGCTCCTCTCTCTGATGATACAATGGCCGGGAACGAAGCAGGAACAGAAGATTCAGAAACAGAAGTAGCAAAGTAAGGCAAAGATAGCAAACTAGTAATAAGAGGCGCACTGGAAGAAGACACAGCATCGCTGACACTCGGGCCAGTAGAGGCACCAGCAGTCGAAGCATCAGCAGCAGAATTGGCAGCAACTTCAGGCTCTAACGCCGCAGCCGAGAACAATGTAGTAGCGCTGATACTCGGACCAGTAGAGGAAGCATCAGCAGCAGTAGCAGTGGCAACTACAGGCTCTGACGCCGCAGCTGAAGATGAAGCCGGTCCAGATGCCGACGCAGGCGCCGGAGGAGAAATAGACTCGATCTCAGGGATGGTGACCGGTCTGGACTCGGAGGCATAGTTCAATGCAGCCAGAATACCAGCCGCGGCGGTGTGTGGGCGCGTGGCGCGATTTTCGGCACTGGGGGATTGTTGACCAGCTAGAGGTAAGGTAGATTAGCTTTGATCTATTCCTTGATTCGATGGCTCTCTGTCCATTTGATGTCCAGTATGGGTGTATCATGCAGGCAGGTGGCATGCTTTTTGCTTCATGGACTGTACAGCAGGCGGGCAGGTACGGAAACCAGCAAAACACCACAACAAGAAACCCAGAAGATGAAATCAAATCACGCAAAGGCATTAAATAGTAGACAGACCATCTCCAATAAAGCAAATCTAATCAAAAGACAAAAGAACACACAAGCACACAAGCGTCCAGGAAAAAGAAAGCAAATGCAAGACAAGGTGAGTGACTCACGTGACGACCTGAGACCTAACGACGAGAGCACACGGCGACTCTGGCGACGAGCCGGCTCCCACTTTCTGGGCTTGTCGGTCATGATTTTTTTTTGGACTCTTTGTTTTTCTGGGTAGCTGATTATAGAATCTGCTCATTAGTATTAAATGGCAGGATTCAAGGAGAAAGAGGGGGGATGAGTGGGTAGTTGGTTAGATGGGTGAGACAAGGCAGAGAAAACGTTCAGAGTCGCTGGGTTCAGAGTCACAACAACACCGGGAATCACAGACAGTCAGGATACAAAGGAATCATGCAGGAATTAAAGGAAGCAGCTAAAGAGGATCATATCATTAACAAACTTATCAGAATGAATCACAAAAGGAAATGGAAGAAAGGACGTGTTCTTGCGTGCAAGAAGATGAGGAAGAAAAGGTGTGAGAAGACATGAGAAGGAAGGGTGGTAGAAGAGAAGAAGAAGAGGAAGTAGGAGGAAGAATAGGAAGTAGGAGGAAGAAGGGAAGAAAGATAAACACAACACAACACGTCAGGGAATGATTTTCTTCTGTTTCAGAGAACGTTACGCGGGATTGGGTGAAGGGCTTTTCTCGGCGTCGACTGCCTGCGTGTTGTAATTGCAGTGCCCGAACGACTAAGCAACTAAGTGTTAGACTTATTGAAGAAGAGCAGTGAACAAAAACAGGGAATTGTTAACTGTAGCAATTCATATTTTATATAGGTTTTGTATTTCACTCACCTAGAGTGCCTTTCTAGGGATATAACAATACTAATAGTGTGCCAGTCAATACAATAATATTAAATATCAACTATCACGGCAAAGAATAGACAAGCCCTAGAGCAGATGGTTACCTATAGGCCTCCTCGTGGCAACTAAGTACTCGTTCAACTTTTGGCCACATCCATAACTGGCTCGAGTTATCAGGTCCATCAAACTCAATCATTCCGCTGCAAATACGCCAGTCCCTGCTGATATATCAACTCGTCACCAGCGCGCCGATGCCGCTTAGCCAAGTTCTTACCGCTTGCAGACACGCATCTCAGCGGAAGAACAGTGCGTATCGGACGGATTCCACTAGGGTGTCTAGTTGACCGAGTTAATACTAGCAAGGCCGGAGGCAATACATGACCCTCGAACAAATGGAACAACCTACTCATCCCATCCGAGACACCCCCAACCAGCCCAGGGACCAAGATCATGAAACAATCCACACACATCCCCTGGCCCTGTCAAGTCCCTCTACCACTTCATCTTCTCGCGCCTATACCCTCTTCTCAAACCCTGGCCCTCATCCTATCATCACCTCTTCCTTACCCACCTTATCCGTGACCCTCTAAATCCCAATAATCTCCTCCTGCGCTATCATCCTCCAACAGCACACTCGCGCGACATGTACCGCCTACAGCAGCCTACTCTTTCCCTTTCTCTTTCTCTTTCGCCTCCTCGTCAAACGATACTGCATTCACTTCCTGGCCATCCACTCGTTCATTGGCACCAAGTCTCTCCTGGAGTTGAAAAAGAATCACAGGAGCCCAGAGGTCAGAAGAGACCGTCAGACTTCCATCCCGCGTTCTTTTAAGGTTCCCAGTCTCCCCTGAAGATCGCATCGCATGGCCATGTCTTTCCTGCTGTATACTCTGACGCGTGTCCATGATGATATGGGAGGTTGGGAAACCGGGTCGGAATGGAATTGCTTTTTGGAGATATGAGCTTTGCATGTTGGGGAGTTTTAGTTTATGGATAGGGTTGGTGATGATGATGATGGTGATGATGGTGATGATGGTGATGATGATGATGATGATGATGATGATGATGATGATGATGATGATGATGATGATGATGATGATGATGATGATGCTGTGTATGGATACTGGGATGTTAAGTTTCAACAACGTAGCCAAATATCTCAATCTAAATGACCTTCTCTCTCTATCTCTCCAATCTAAATTAAAAATATATCTATAAATCAAAACCCCATACCCACAGAAGATAGAAAAAACCCTTCCTCCCAATCTAATCCCCTTTAATCCTCATCCTCCCTATCATCCCTAATACCCGCACCCCCCGAGCCCCAAAACCGCCATCCAGTCCGTAGTATCCAAAAAAGCCAAACGAGATTCAGCCCCTGCAACGAAGCCAGCAACACAAACGTAATAACCTGACTAATCCGACATTTATATTCCTGTCGCCCCCAATTGAGACCCCATGGTCCGGAGGTCTGGAATTCCGTGAGGAGGGAGTACAGCGCGCGTAGATTGATTACGTGGCGGGTTTGGATCCAGACGAGCGTGAAGAGGATGAAGTAGGGGACTTGGAGGGCATTGTTGAGGTAGTTGAGGAGTTTGGAGGTCTGGTTCGTGTTAGTTAAATTTCCGTCATGAACGAGCAGCCCCAAATAACAGACATCAAGATATAAGAGGCAAACTCACAGCAAGAAAAAAATCACTCCCATCATGCGTCACAAAAACCAACAGGCCAAGATACGTAAAATGGAACCGCCAACTCAACGCGATCAACCCCACCGTAACGAAATGATGCATCACCAATTCCCTGAAATCCCGTCGAGGAACCTCCAGCCCCAAGACCAGCACGAGCATCTGCTGGGCCCAGAAGCTCGCCTGGAGGAGGTAGTACGCTTTGAAGAGGAGTGAGTGCGTGAGGTGCGGATAGTCCTGATACATGATCCCGGTGTTCAGGTGCATTTTCATGATGGTGGACGGTACGTAATGGAGAGTAGGCGAGGACGGGAGGGTCAGAATCCCCGTGTCGGTGAGAAGGTATATGCCGGCTAGAGTCGAGACGGACGTGTATAAGGCTGTGTAGAACTGTTCGCTGAATCGGGCCTGCTTGCTAGGCGAGATTATTCCGGCACGTTTGGCTAGAAGAGGGAGGAGAGATGAGATCAGGAGTTCCCGGGTAAAGGTGAAGACGAGGGTGTAGAAGGACACGAAAAGGACGTCCGCGGAGCCTTTTGCATATTGGATCCGGCTGTCCCAGGCGTGAAAAGACTTTGATTGTTCCGTCATGGGGCTTGAAACCTCGTAGGAGAGAAAGAGACACGCGTGCAGGGGATTACTGGGCGTAGGGTTGAGGCGGTAGAGGGATACGATTGCCAGGCAGAGACACAGGGGACCGAGCCAGGTATGTTGCAGGGAAGTTTCCTTCCATTTGCGAAAGTATGGTGGGATCGATTGAAAAGGAGAGAATGGCTAATCAATGATCTGGTTAGAAACTTCCTTAGAACTTTAGAAGATGGGCTGGACCATACCGATGACGGAGATTGATGTGACGACTTCGTTGCCTCTCGAGGAACCCGAAGACGTCCCTTGAATCCTGGATCAGGGCGTGCAGTCGTTGTAGCTCGGGATTCCGTCATATTGGCCAGCGCAACAGAGAAAACGAGGCCGCAGAGGGAGAAAGCTGGACAGAGTCAACTGAAAGAATTAAGAAAAGGAAATATAGAGTGGATCTCAGTGCAGCTAACCCATCTGGGGTGGGCTTGCGAGCCTGAGGCTCAAACAGGCTAAGCGGTCTCGATTTGGCCCCAATCTATACAAACTACACTCGTTCTGCTCTGGATTCAATAAGAGAAACTCCACTTCCATTGCACCGACAATATTCTAAAACCATACGCTAACCAATGCAATCATCACATTCCGTAACCCGCTATTCTAAATGAAAAAAAAGGCCCCGCAATGAGACAATAACACGACAGGGGAAAAACAAGGGGTATAACGTCATAAATGAGAAAAACCCGAATTTGTTAGCTACGTAAGAGAAAGAAAGAATGAAACAGAGAATGGGTATATCATGCATTGACTGCCTGCTCCGGTGAGCTGGGGGGCATCTTTTGTGGCGTGTTCTCGTCGAGGGTGTGATTCCCGTCTATGCTCGAGTGTGGTGGCACTCGCTCTTCATTCGGGGCACTGGCTGCCTCCCGGAAGGGCGAGATGGGGGGAAACAGTGAGGACGCTGCGCTCGTCGTCTCGGCGAGTTTGGGATCCATTCCAAGTGCGTCGTCACTCTTGGCTTTGATTTCTCCGTAGAGTCGACCGGCCGCTTCCTTTGAGTCTTCTTCTGTCTCTGGCTCCTCCGCCGTCTGGAAACTCCTTCGTGTGGCCGTGCTGGGACTGCGCTGAGAGGCAACATCCGCTAGATGCGTAGGCTCCGACATGATCGAGTCGGCACTACTGCCGACCCCTGCTTCGCGCACTTTAGGCTCATCGGAGGGTGTGGGCTTGCGCAATTTGAGGCGCTCCTCCGGTGGCATGTTCTGCCACTCAGACCCAAACGTCACGATGGACGCCTTCTTGCCATGCACCGTGAAGCTGGCTGACTTTCGCGAAAGACCTTCTCCCCGGCCGCCTCCTTCCTTGGCTCGATGGTGCTCGTCTTCAAGCGCGGCCATGCTAGATGCAGAGTCGCGGGATTTCTTGCTCCGAGGATAGTTTCCACGACCACTGGAAGAGTCGCGGAGAGTACGATGAAGACTGCGACGGACTCGTCCCATCCTCTCCCCTCCCGCGTGGGAGGACGACCCATCCTGTTGGTGTGCTTCTTCGTGTTTGGATTCGAGATCACCTTCAAAGCCAATGACCGACGATGGCTTTCGAGACTGGGGGGAGCCACTAACGTCCAACAGCCCCGTCTCGCGAAGCAGACGCTCTTCACCCTCTTCGAAGCTGCCGGGGGCGGTGAGCTTCGAGGTCCGCGATCCCAGGCTGGCAACATCCAATCTACTGGTGGCACTAAGCACGGAAGCTTCCCGCTCCAGCCTATTAGTCGGCGCCGGTGACCAGGACTCTGCCCGCTCGTTCGAGTTGTCCGCAGAGAGTCGTCGACCGGCCCGAGGAGCGATCTCGGACGAGGTAATGGACACTGGGACACTCGGCCTGCGAGTATTAGTGGGAAGTGTCTGCTGCTGCTGCTGCTGCGTCGGCGGCGATTGCGGCACGGGAATTGTATGCGCGGACGCCGTAGGACTCTCGGGCACTGCCGCTGCCTCGGTCTCCAACGGTGAAGCCACCACGACATCATCCACAGGAGATGCTAGCTTCTCGGTTGGAGTTGTCTCGCTCAAATCCGGAGACGATGGCACGACATTGGTGATAGGGATCTGTAGATGCAACGATTTGGGATCCAGAGGTGGAGGTCTCGGCTTTTCGTCCTCGAAATCTTCACCCAGGTCCCGAACAAGGACCTCCCGGTAACACTTGGTCCGCCAGATATCCTGTCTCACCCATTTGAGTTTCGCAGCCATGCGTCCGGCCGCCATGATGACGTGTTCTCGGGCTCGCGCGTGCACGGGCGTCAGGACCTGGAGATGCCTGGCGTTCCGTAAAAGATCATCCAGCTGGCGTTGAGCAGAAAACAGTTTTTCATTGGCTTCACGAATTCTTTGTCGGATTAGATGCCTACGGGCTAAGACCACGTCTCGAGAGACATCAGTATCCGGGTTAGGCGACGGTGGTTCTCGATCGGCCGAGAAATGGGAGTTAGCAGAACCAGACGAGCCTCTACGGCTCATTCGATTTCGCTGGGCTTCATAGTTCGTAGCGATCATGCCCTGTGTCCGCACGCCGGTCGTCCGGAATGTTGAGGCATAATTGAGTTTGGCTAGCCAATCATTCATGTCCTCTTCAGTGTTGGCCAAGAAAACTTCCTCCAAAGCATTGTGGCGCACGAAGACAAAGGCGTGCTTGTGCTTCTTATAACCGGTGTCCAGCAGAGACACCGCACTATCCGTCGACATGATGCCATCGGGTTTGAAGTCCGTTAAAGGTGGTCTAAACACGACCGCGCGCCGGGGCCCTTCCTTATGATGAGCTTCATGCTGGGCCATCAAGGATTTGATCCACGTGACGTCTCTGAAAAGATAGAGTTGCGAAAGGGTCAGAAGCGCACCCCATTCCTGCCAGGGCGATCGGGCTCTCTTTTTCTTAGGATCTTTTCGCCAGAGCAACCCAACCTTGGCCACCTTGATGTCCACCAAGCCCGGATTGGAGTCGGCCGGGTTCTCCATGCTGGCCGGCATGAAAGCATCTGGCCGCGATCGCGGGGACAAGATCTGTAGGATTCCGGATTTGGCAAAGGCATGATGGAGAGCGTCCATATTGGGCGGTCCTTCCGTACCGTCGCAGGAGTAGGTGTCGTCCAGATTCATGACATCCTTGAGGCTGGGTCGTAGGGAATCTAATTTGCCGTCCATGATCAGGGTGTAAGGGTCTACAGGTTCGCGAGAAACCCGAGAAAGATGGTCTGAGCTGGCCGTTTTCAGCAGAGTTCGTCGGGGTTTCGAAAGATTGCGCGCGGTTGCATTGCCATCTTCAATATGGATGAAAGGGGTATAAGAGATATTCTCGTAGAAACACTCCAGAATATCTTCTGCAAGGCCTTCGCCGCGACAATTCTTCACATAGTCAGGCTTTTGCATCTTCCGTTTGTTATTCTTGTTAAAAACATCCGTATGCAGGATCAAGATGGAAAAGGCGATGAAATATGCTTGATCTGCGCAGGAAGTCAGTTACACATGCATGAAGAGGGGAGGAAGTATGACCTACCGGTTGAGGCAAAAATCCCCGGGTTGCACTCGTGATACCGATCGGCGAAGCTCTGGAGAAAACGGTCTATGTGCTGCGTTTCTTTCGGCAGTTCCACCTCCATCAATAGTTTGCGTATTGCCATATCAATAGGATCACCAAAGAATGAGAAACTTCGCATGTACTTTCGCAGGGCGGTCTTGTAGAATTCTTCGTTTGACTGGGCCAGCACTCCAGCAATCACACTCTTCGAGCAGGTCATCTCAAGTCGAGCAAGATACGTCGCCGGCGTATCATTTTCCTGCCTATCGGGATAAGATGGTGGGCTGGGCTTCGCTGGCGGTGTCCTAGACCCATTTGCACTGGGCGATCCGTTTCGAGGAAAAGGCGGCTCAGAATTCTGCCTTAGTCGCTGCGTTATGTTGAAGATATCACCGAAACTCTTCCGACCGCTCGTAGAGGTAGATGTCCGCCCAGATGCGCTGATATGGGGGGACAGGCGTCCGCCATCCTGCGCATTGGCCAGAGAATCCATGGTCGAAGACCTCGCCCGAGTGGTGGCTTTGTTTCGGCTGGCATTGGAGGGGGTCGAGCGGAGAGAATGCGTCGAGTTGGTGGAGTCCATCCGTGGTAAGCCAGGTCGCGCCGACGCAACGCCTACTGAAGACCGGGATGGAGAAGGAAGCGGCGAAACATGATCGGGTTCGTCGGAATTGTTAGGCTTGGGCACGGATCTATCCTGAGCCGCAAATTGCGCTGCAGTGGGCTTCGGAGGCAAGGGGAAAAGCGGGTTGCGGTTGCGTTTCAGGCGTGGCATCCGAAATCGCTTGCTGACAGAAGACGCCGTCGACTCGCGATTTAACCCGTGATCGCCAAGGCTCTGATCGGAACGAGAGGATTCGGAAAACCGCGCGTCCGTCACCGAAGAGCGCTGGGAATCGTTCGTCTGATCTCGACTGCTGCGAATGGACGTCGTCGATAACCGCCCGGGTTCTTCATTGTTGTTGGTCTGAGACGTCGCCCGCTGGGTCTCGGTCGACCCGTTGGAGGCATGCCGGGGTTTCTCACTCGCATTCGGGTGTTGTTTAGACTGTTGTGCAGGGAGTTCTTCAACGGATGGTTTCTTAGAATCAGAGAAGAACTTGAACTTGGTCTTGGTACGTTTGATAGGTTGGTCTACTTCGTGGCTCGTAGGTGCCGTGGTGATGATGGTCGGAGCTATGTCACGCAATCCAATAATTAGCATCGCAAACCCTCTATGGAAATAGATGACAATTGTTCTTACGGGGTAGAGACGGCACGGGAGGAACATCCTCCTCTCCCTTTGCGTATGATTGCGAGAGCTGCGGATCGGACGCATGACGCAACCTCATTAAACTGAAGCGATTCCTTCGCCAGCTCGAATTGTCACCAGGGGCTAACCCTGTTCGAGCTCTCGGTGTTGGGGCCGGTAAGTTATGGGAACGAGTTGCGGCAAGCTGCGACCCATCGTTGTCCGTATCGTGACCCTCATCCGGACCGAGCAGCGACGGAGAACGAGGGGCGGATTCGGATCTCCTGGGAGCAAGATTGGAAGTCAAAAGAGTCGGACGAGGTAATTGTTCACTGTGCCGAGATTGCGATTGGGGCTCGAGTAGGCTTCGTCTTTTGTCGAGGCCGTCCGAGGTACCAAGCCGCAGGCCTTTCCAATGCATGACTAGGAGGATTAAGGAAAGGACTGCACAGAGAAGCTATGTTGTGTTTCCCAAGTGTAACCCATTCGACAAAGGATGCAACCGACACCGAGCGATTGATCTGACGGTGTATTATTTTGGTTCCAGGGTAGATCCAGGGGAAG